TTTGCTTTGTTGAGGAATTTAGGTTTGTTTTCCATTTTTCTCCTCAGCTCAGGCGCAGTCTGCCAATTCATTTTGTAGCTCGCTCAGTTTTGACTGATTTAGAAGCAGCAGCTGGTCTAGTGGAGAAGACTGGAGAGATAAATCTAAGCCTCTTTTGATTTATTATGTATAATGTCTCATCAGCCGTTGCTAAGGTCTTCAGATGCACTGAAGAATTATACCGTTACATCTTTACAAGTTGTGGCTTATTTAAAGGCGTATAAAGAAGAAAAACCTAATAAAGAAAACATAGCAGGAATAAAAAAACCACTGCCATAGTGCCAGTGCCATACCAGAGCTCTGCATTTTCCCTCTCTCATTTCTTTACAGGCATCTACTGTGTATTATGGGCATTCTGGGCATAGTGCCACCTTACCAGACACTATAGATAATTTGATTCCCACTGAACGATTGGGGGAGAGCAGAGCGGGGAGGCTGACTGTAAAGAAAGCAGGTGAAATGCAGAGCATTACGGTATCAGTCGAAAATGAGCTCATCCTCCAAACTGGAAGTGGCACTTTTCAGCCCTAAGTCATCTAATCACATCTGTATAGAGCCAGAAATCGTTGGTTGATCAATAGTCATCATGGATGCTGTCAATGGCCAGGGTAGTTTGAATTTTGCATGGTCCATGAATCTCTATTGAGTATGGATTTTGTGTTCCCTCCATGGATGGGGTTGTATAGTACTGCCTGATTGGCTGCAGTGTGAGCTCTATTTATGCTGTTGTGCCCCAGGCTGAATCACCTGCCCCAGGCATCCATATGAACAGACATATGCAAACATGCACACAAACAGAAGTACACACACACAAAATGATACATTCCCGCTAATGAAGCAGTGAGCCAGAAGTGGCTTCACTAGGTGGATATCCATGTCAACAACTGTTTAATAGTGCAAAGCAAGTCATTCAATACAGCCAGGCCTAAAAAAAATGACACAAAATCCAACAGTAGGTTATGCTCATCCGGAGCAATGATAGAGTATGTGCGAACAAATGGTGAGAAGGAAATATTAGAGGATACATGAGTCTTACATAAAAAGATAGAACAATTCTACTTGAAAGAGTTGGCCTGACGTGATAAAAGGGAGCTGGATGGAGGGAAGAAATCATAAACAACAGGGTTTTCTTTTACAAAATTGCCAGGCAAGTTATCCACGTACGTGCACATTCCTGTGTGCCACTAAGTGAATGTGTATGCATGTGCGCTCTTCACAGTGGGACTAACAATCCCACAGAAAGACAAATGTGTGGCAGCTTCTGACAGTAACACGTTTGCATCACGGCAGGAAAACAGCAAATTGCCAACATAAATAAGGTGCCACGCTCTGATTAGGACTGTCTTCACACATCATTATGGTCTAATGAGAGAGTTTCCCCTCTCTCTCAGTCTCTTTATAGCTGCATGTCTGCTTGCCGTATTGCCTTCACAGACTTTGCATTTTACTAGCTCCTCTCTTGCTGCGCTTGACACCTGTCAGACATGATGGATGAATGTAAGTGAGGTGTCGCCAGGGCAACAGGCAGGCCAGGGGCAGTGGTGGCCTCCAGAGGCAAGACAGGTAGCCAGTGGTGGCTCTGCTTTTATATCTGAAGGCTTTATTTAAGACAAACTGTCTGGCCTGATTGCCCCGTGTGAACTGCGCTCCTGCCCTACTTCAGATGACACCCCAATTGGGAGGGGTTTTAGGGGGCGAGGGGGTCGACGGGTGTTTGGGGAGGGGTTCAGTCCTATAATACCCTCTCATTGGGTCATGCCAGCATTCCATTGCCTTGGCCGCTTGCTTGAGTGACAACACCAAATGAATTTGCTGCATCAGTGTCTGACTTTGGAGGACACACGTCGCTGTAACTCTTTTTTCTTGCTGTCCGCAGTGACAGCACATGAATACATTATGGACACACTACTTGTGAATTCTTCTATAAACTGCTCTGTGTCATTCTTCCGCTGTGCCTCATATTCGCACACAACGCCACACTAATAATACATCCACATTTGCGTGGCCGTGTTTGTGAGCACGTATGCAATTATGTGTGGGGGGGGGGGGGGGGTTCGATGTTTTTGTATCAGTGTGCAAACGCTCTTCAAAATTACACATTGGGAAACTTTACTTTTTATGCGAGGACATGTGTGTATGTGTCTATAATTATGGTTTAATTGCTTGCCCTGCGATGTGCTGTCATCTGTCACAGCTCAAAGACAGCAAATAATGGTTCTGCTGCCATCACTTTGTCACCCAGACACTCAGCATGCAGAAAGCAGCAGAAACACCAGTAACTGATATGCGTCTTGAATTACTGATAAGCGCTCAAGTATGATGAGCTTTGTGTGTATGGGCGTGCTCGTGCTCTCAACATTTTCTTGGCATGCCTTTGTATCGGGGTCTGTTGTGATTTCTTCTGTAAGTATGCATAAAGCTGTGTGCATGAGTGTCAAAGCCTGTGGTGTGTGAAAATGTATGATTCTGAGTGGGTGTCGGTTTGTGCTTGAGAACTCAATGTCTAATTTTGTGAGTTTGTGTGTGTGTGCAAATGTGTGTGTTTGTAAGAGTGAATTGGTGTTTATGTTACAGTAGAGTAAGGGTTCGCAGGCTTATGGATGTGTGTGTGTGGGAAAATGTGTTTGATGCCTTGTGTATATCGGCAATGACAGGTGCAACAGTTGTGTTATGCTTTAAGCTGCTTGTTTGTCTGGCACGCTGCTTTGTGTGGTTGAGAAATGGAGTAAACAGAGGGAAAGGAAAGCAGCCTGGGGGCTAATTTATTCACTCCCCAGTCGCCCTAGTCACAGAGGCCTGTTGCACCGGCCCACCTGTCAATCCAGAGGAGCATGCCATACCGTTATACCATCCAACTGTACACTGCCACACCACACTCTCAGTGGGCCAAGCGCTTTAGGCTATAGCAGTATTAACCATGATATATTAATAAACGCTCTGTAATCAGAATGAACAAGACAGCAAGTTTTGGGTTTTTTGAGCGACATCCAGAAGTTTGCAATTTTCTGTGTGCTGTGAAAGTGCAAAGTCGTATCAGTGCTGGCACTGAAATGTAAAGTCAAGCGTTACACAGACAGAAATTTGGCATTTCTGTTTGTAAGCACCTTTCACAGAACTTTCAACACATGACTGTAGTGAAATGCATAAACAGTTTAATGCCATATAGACCAGTGTCCTTTGTTGCATCACTAATCTCTTGAAAAGGGTCCAAAGTAGAGTTTGTGACATAAATGCTCACGAAACTGCACAGGAGAAATGTGCGAGACGATAGCTGTTGTAGTCGACTGTAGTAATGTGATGTTCAGTTCACTGTGGGTGTGGGAGGAAGTGTCTGCCCATTGCCAGCGTAGAGTAATGGATGGCAGAGCTATGGGAGTGGGAGGAGGCATACATCCTTTTTCAGACAGCTGTAATGGATGAGAGTACAGCAAAAAATAAGAACAGGAGGCAGTCTGCATGCATTCACCCTCTCAAACTCTCACATGCAGAGTTCAGTAGTATTGAAATGAGTTCACAAAAGATGTGAATGGAACAATGGAACACCTGGTGAAACAGTCAAGGCTAATTTGACTCTTGTTAATTGGTCATAAGACTCCTATGGGTGAACATTCTGGATATACGCAGCCTCACACATGAGTTTGTACTTGTGTGTGATGTATTTGTGTTTTAACTGTGTAATGTGCCTTTTTTTATCCATTTGCCCAGTCTGTGTTGCTGTACAGTGCTAGCTGTAATTAACAAGGCAGTTTGATGTTGGCAAGCTACTTTCTATATATACAGGCAAACTTCTTCTGTAGGCCATGCATAGTTAACCAGGTTAAAGAAGACAAACACATAGCACACTTCAAGGTGCCTATTTATCATTAAATAATGTAGTCCTCTTTCTGCCCATTCACAGCTCCCCAGGAAACCTCCCTTTACTTACTCAACAAGTGTTGAATGATGATGCTGTACCTTCCTGTGAACATGTGCATATGTGCATGTGCACTTTGACTAACAGTGTATGTATCACCACAGCTGGTAGCTCTCCTAATTTCTCATCAAACATTTATACCAAAGAGGACTTGGATGAAGCTCAGCCCTCTCAGCCTTCTCCTCTGCCTTATTCCTCTGGGAACCAGGCTTCATGTCTAAAGTACAATCCATTTTACCCTTGCCTTTTCTAAATATTGTATCACACAAAATCACAGCCTGTGTCCTAGGTGGTGAGGGTTATGGAAGGAAGGAGTTTTGTAGACTTTTTTGTTGCTGCTGTAAACAAGCAAAAGCCCTGCCATCCCTTTAGGTCACCTGGGAGCCACGGCCATGAGTCTCCCAGAGAAGGATTGGGAAGGAGTGGGGATGGAAGGAGGTTAAGTGCTGCCTTGCTGCTGTTCCTCAGTGCGTGGTGCTTCGTTGCGTTTGCCTCTGCTGCCGGCTGGTGAAAAATGTCTCCTGGCCCCTCCGCCAGATATCAGGATGCGTTATCAGCCCCGCCTAGCTCTTTTCACTGTAACGAGCCCCCAGGCACAGTATTATCTGTTTACGATAAGGATATTAATAACACTGTGCTTTAGTTATGTGCAGGGTTGCCCCACGGGGTGATGGGGGGGTTGAAGTAAGAAGCACCTGAATCATTCTGTCAAAGGTACTTTCCAAGGAGGACAGGATATAAGTGGAAAAGAGGGAGAGGGAACCGGGGGAGAAGTCATATGGTTATGTAGGGACAGTGATGAAATGCTGGTTAACCCATCCAGTTTCTCCCATCAGCTCACTGTCTTTGTTTTCAAGAACAATAGCTTGGCCATCTGCCAGCAGGTCCTTGTGGGAGTTATCATACGGAGAGAAGAGGTCAGGGTTTCAAAGGTCACAGCTGCCATGGTTAGCTGAGAGGTCGGTCTATTTCCTGGACTTTACTGTTGTGTAATGTGCTCTTTTTGTCTCCCTTTTCTGTCTTTCTCTGCTATCTCACTTCTGTCCAGTGTCTATATGGCTGCTACGTCCACTCCTCCATCATCCCCACCTTCCACCGTAGGTGCTACTGGCTTCTCCAGGTAAGAACTCCCCTTTGCCTCTTTTACAGTTCACCACGCTTCAGTTTACTGAAGACTCTAACTGCCAATTCACAAGAACTTGAATGAGTTGCGTGATATCACTTTCTATTTAACCGGAGCATTTTCTCGTGACAGCCAGCAGGGACACATCAACCTATCCCTCCACTACCCCCTCTCGGCCTTCTCTTTTCTCTTCCCAGCTTCCATTTTCCTTATCTTTCCCAGTCATTCAGTTTTCTGATGGCATTGCCCATACACGCCGTCCAGCACGGCCGGTATCTCAGTCAGCTAAAAGCTTTGCCATCTCCCCTGTCTAACAGCTGCAGTGATGGGCAGTAAAAGCATGATGGAAGAGGTTCCCTGTACAGTATAGTGTGCTTATTGTGGGTCGTCAAGTCTGCAGGCTGAGAGTGGTTGTAAATAGTAGTCCTTTGATCACCTACCCAATACGTCTCATCATTCTCGTTTAGCATGGCAGCTATTATTGTTGGAAGGTGTCTGATACAGCCATTCACACACCAACACACACACACACACACACACTGTTTTAAGGGAGCATAAAGCATACACACAGAGGAAAGGAGGTTGTGGAGACTGTGTCTGTTTGTCTGTCTGTATCGATCAATCCATCTCTGTGTACAAGAAGAAAAAAACATCTGTGGGATAAATATACTTTGGCTAATGTGCCTCAGTTTAAATTTAAATGTGTGTACTGACTAGACTGAGAAAACATCATCACGTGCCATCGAGCCAATATCCCTTCCTCCCACAAACCTTACAACCATCCCTCCCCTCCCACATAAAATGACTGATAGTAAAACAGGAGAGCAGACCAGTGGGGGCAAAAGACAAAAGAGGAAAAACTAGGCTGAAAAATTGCTTAAATACTCTGGGAACGCTTAAAATAATTTGAGCGTTCCCACAGTAAATAAAAGCGTTCACACAAAAACTGTTTGTTTTTCTATTGCTTTATGTTGGCAGTGTGTGTGACAGATGGAAATAATTACTCTAGCAGATAAAAACATGACTCCACCTTCCTATTGGGATTTGAGCAAGCAAACCCACTTTGGTTGACTTCAGCCTAAATAATCTGGTGTTCATCGGATTACTTGCGGTGACAACCACATACTGGAAGTCTTTCATATCGCACGCAATAACCCTCTCTGTTCTCTCACGATAACAGTTTATTTTACCCTGCACTGTCCCTCACGAGACAAAATGAACATTAAGCAACTTTATTGAACTGCTCTGGCCTCTACTACCTCATCCATTGCACGGTTGTATGAGCAGCACCTCTTAAGGAAATCTTCAAGAAATCTTCAAATATTTTCTCTTACAGCTTTTTTCAAATGTTTTGCTACATTTCGTGAAACATTGATTAAAGTTCTGCACACTGAACATCAAAAACAGCTCAAAAATGCAGCAAACCACTGTAGTTATTTCACAAAAAGCTGTAACTCACCCAAGATGTTTAACTCAAAGCGTCAAGATGAAGTTATTGTGTCAATGAATAAGTCGTTGCCAGCAAAACGAGAGCTTCTTTTTTTCAATTGTGCAAAAACAGCGTGGTCAAAATGTTTAGCTATCTCATTAGAATGACTGGAATTTTTTTGCTCATCTTATAATGTCACTGACATTGAAAGCCTACTGCACCAGTCTATTATTATTCTCATGATAACTGGCTGCTTTTGTGTCAGAGTGAATACTCTTCAGATGTTGATTTCAAGAGCACAAGGTTTTACATTCTACTTTGTGAACCAAGAGAGCACTTACATTTGCATATAATGTGAAGAAAAACAGTTTTCTTTTCCCACAACAGCCACACAAGACAGACCGGTGCAGTAAACATGCAGCGCTGCTATAGATTATCGATACCCAAAAACTAATAAAAAAGTAAAATAATTATGGGAAGAGTAGACGTCCTGTCATGCCCATCTCATTCACCTCCCACCAAATGCGGTGCCTTGCAGTGGATCAGAAGAAGTGCTGTGTGTATGTGTATTTCACCTTCCTATATTGTGTTTTCTTGTCTTCGCTACACTCTCACACATCCTTATTCCTCTTCCACTTCCACGGCAGCCCCAACAGTGTTCACAAATTGTTGTAACTCTGTTGTGCTCAAGCACTATAAATACAGTATGTTTTACAATACTCATACTAATGACTTGCTCCTGTGTACTCAGCAGAATTTGACATTTAGAGTGGCTATTCTGCATGTGATGAGCTACACAATGAAATAATATTAGCATATTTAGGGGATGGCCTCATGATGGACCCCACCTCTCGCCCACACTCTGCTGGGATAGACGCCAACGGTCACTTATGAATTTATTATATTTCCATATGCATATGCGAGTAGTTACTGGCTGTTGGTATGCTTTTTTCATTTGTGTAATGGCTGAGATCCCCCTTTGGCCATTTTAGTTTAAGTGATTGGGGACAAAACCCACAGTCCTTGTTCTATGCAAAAATACTTTAATATCAAAACAACAGAATCAAATCATCCAAACCTACATTGTTTTTGGTCTTAAATCACCTTTGTGTGGTTCTACTGTTTCCCTTGTGTAGTGGAGGGATAGTAAGAGGGGATTTCATACTGAAGACTGTATAACTTTGGAAGACACCACTTGATTCGACTAATTCAGACTGCTGAATCTTCAGATTTTGTTCAGCTGAATTTCAGAATGAATATTAGCACCGAAGGAGAACTGTGGATTTCATCTTCCATCACTGACAAGGAAATGCAGTAGTAAGGAATCTCTGTGGGGCCAGTTTAGAGAGGAAGAATTTTTCAGTGATGACAACACCCTTAACTTACATATGGGTATAATGGCATTGTTTTCAGACAGGCCTAGAATGTGAACATGCTCTTTTTTTCTATCCTCTCTAGCCGAAGTCAATTTCAGAGCTAGAGGAGCATGACTCGAGGATGAAAAATAGCCACATTTCCAGGGAAAGTCAGGGGAAAGTTGCGCTTGACACAAACACAACACAAGGACACATGCAGACTTTCAGAAACATGTACACACCGAACTGAAAGTGAATAACACAGAGCTGAGGTCAAACTGGGTCACTCGCTTTTCAAAACTGCAACCTTCATTTTAAACCTCGCTTTCTGCCAGCTACAAGATAGACGCACATAATCACTCGTGAAATTTTGAGAAGTTCACTGACTCTGCCTTTCTTTCCTTTAACTGTAGAGCATCAGTTAAGAACAACTGGTTAGTGAATCCTTGGCCCCCATCTCTTACACTGCTCAGCAGTTCTTGTTACACCCACGGCTCGAGCTGCGTGTGTGCAGCTAACACATCCACTTGTTCAAAGGAAAAAGCACCTTCTGCTGCCGGATAAAAAGCATTTATTTACAAACGTGCATTTTCTTTGGCGCTAAGCATTTCTGGAACCCCAGATTTACATCTCTTTTCAGGCAGTTTATTGCAGACCATCTGGGCTGACAAGAAACCACAGTCACAGTGATACAGTGATACCAGAGGTAAAGGATTACACTTCAGGCCATATCTCTGCAGATGCAGATAGACCTTCAGCACCTCTGTCTTTTCTTGCCACTTTCATTCAGACAACTGACAGTCAGCCTGGTTACAGTCTCTTTCGTATTCTCTTTCTCTCTTTTTCCACCTTCCTCTAGTCTCTGAACTCTCTGTCCCTGACTCCCTGTGTACCATTTGCTGTGTCCATATGAGATTTGCAGGCAGTAGTCTGTCAACAGCAGAGCAGCAAGGAGACTGGAGCTCCCAGAGCGGCAACAGGGAAAGGTCACCAGTGAGTGAAAAATGTAAATATTCAGCCATCCAGCAGCCACAGTCACGGAGAGACAGGGATGAAAATAACTCCTATTACACACCACCGACAGGGAGGGAACACAGAGGACAGAGAGGGTAGAGACAGACTGTGAATGAGAGAGTGAGATGGACACAACTTTTAAAAAGTTGAGCTGAAAAAAAAACACACTGCAGGGCGAGTTGGAGAAAAAGATGCATTTAAAGATTTTAAGGAAGAAAAAAACTATAGTAATATAGAGCGAAAGAGGACAGTGTGTCAGTATTTTTGGATATGTGTGTAACAGTGCAAGAAATCCAGAAGGCGAGAAATGAGAATGACAGACGGAGTGAGGTTAGTGAAAGGTGTTTTAGGTAGGGGGTGGGGGGGGTTAACCAGTGGGTGTGTGCCTCTTTATCCACTCTTTATCCACTCTTTATTGAGTCAAAGCCTGGGTAATGAGACAGGGGACAGGAATAAAGACCTGCGAGGGGGGTCTTCTCTCATTCCATTCATTTTCATTTGTTCTTTTCACCTCTCACTCTCAATCTGCTCATTCCTGCCACACTACCTCCACCTCTCTATGGCATTAGACCACTTAAGAATGTCTGGCCCATCCCCGCAAATGGCTGAGACTGAAGGAAAGTACCACCACAGTTATCTGGGGTTGCAAACAATGAATCCAAATTGCTGCTGAGACAGATAGCTGCTCAGAGCGGACTGTGTGGGTTTTTACTCCGAAAAAAGTTCCCATTTCAGTGGATTTGTTAAAAAAAAGAAATAATATTAAAACTGGGCTCTGTGTGATACCGTGGTGTGTTTTCAACCTTGCTAACAAAAAATAGGTGCACAATTCTCCATAAATATCCTGGGAATGTCTGGCCACTCTTTAAATGCTGTTAGTTTTTCACAAAAGTGTGCATAATTAGATAATTAGATACACCTTACACAGAGTCTTTCTAGGTACAACGTGTCATGGCACACACATACACACACTCAGTAACACAAAGGATCTTGCCTGTCCTGGTGGCACTGATTGATTCTATTGCTCCGTGTCCCCTTCTCTTGTTTAGTGCTAATCGAATGTAATTCCCTGCTTGTGCCTCTCCATCAAATCAGACAGTGGAGTTTGTGCTGGCCGGCGGGGGCACAGAGGTGCGGATAATTATGATATTAATACGGAGGGGGTCTGAGGGGAAACTTCATTTGTCCCGCTGCCTGCC